ACATATATATATTATAAGGAGCTCTGGTAGTGTAGTGTTTACAAACAAATCAGGCTACTAATCTCAAGGTTGGCAGTTCAAAACTATCGGCTGTTCCGTGGGAGAAAGATGAGGCTCCTAGAAACACTATACAGGGTCACTATTAGTTGTAATAGACTCAAGGGCACTTAACAACTACAACATAGTATTTTGTATTATATTATATTACATTAGTGTCATTAATAATATATGTATATTTCATAGAAGGAAATATCATCTGTAAATGCTGAAAAACTTTTGACTAGAAAAGTGTAATGCAGTTAGTGGTCTCTGAAAAGATAGATTAATCTTTATTTTACAATATTCCCAAATAAAAATATATTCACATTCGTGTTCATTTTGCCAATCTTTTTAGATTTCTAGATAAAGTGATGCTCAAAGGAGAAATGCCCAATTTACTGTGGAAAACTAAATGAAATGGCATCGTTTAGTTCTTTCTTAGCTCAAGACCACTGGATCTATGTTTTCTTATGTAATTTCGCATAGTTATATTCAACAAGTGATCAAAAGAGCTAAATTTTCATGATTTGATCTTTTGTCATGAAACGCATAAGTAATTACCAAGTGGTAATGGTGAAAACAAGAATGGGTCAGCATTCAGAACCTACCAAGATCTTTTCAGGACACATTTATTCACTGTATTTTCTTCCTTTAATTTTGTGCCTAATATTTTTACAAGCCGTACATTATTCCCAAAATCTGTTAGTATAAGATTTGATGTTTATTATATACTTAACATTTGTCACAGAAAACTCAAAGTTCTCTGTATGGATTGTTTTAAGTAATAATTAGTAGAATTCTAAAGATGTTGAATAGAATTAACCCCACATTAAAGATGTGGCAATCTGGCACACAGAAGTAATTTCCAAAGACAAAGGCTAGCAAGAAGTAGAATAAGGACTTGAACTCAAGCCATCTAATTCTGGAGGCATTAACTGTAAATACCACATTATTCTTTAGGCCTAAAGTGAGATAAGTGGACTCAAGGTAATGAGAGGAAAAGGGAGGAAATTCTGAATGAATACATTTTTGAAAACGTTAATAGAGATTCTGAAACAAGCCCCGCAACCAGTGAAAATAACCACCGAAACTGAATCATACTATAATTATCTCAGTTTTTGTGTGTGTGTGTCTGATATTCTGAAAAGCACATATTATTTGGACATATGATTTAAAATTATTTCTATTCTTTATTGTCAGGATTTCTGATTCAGGATGGCCCTTTGGGATCTTGTGAAAATAAGTACTGTGGTTTGGGAAGACACTGTGTTATCAACAGAGAGATGGGGCAAGCAGAATGTACCTGCATGGAGTTTTGCAAACGGCACTACAAACCTGTATGTGGATCTGATGGACAATTTTATGAAAATCACTGTGAAGTACACAGAGCAGCCTGCTTGAAAAAACAGAAGATCACCATTGTTCACAATGAAGACTGCTTCTTTAGAGGTAAGTAAAGAGTGACATTTAAGTGTCATTCTCCTCCATTTCTTTTCTTTTCTCAACTAGTGCCTTTAAATTTAAACTCTAGCATGATTTTATATCTGCAAGTGTCTAGAAAATAAAGAAAAAAATTGGGCATAATTATACCAATAAATAGCAAGTAGATAGCAATTTGCATGATTATAATTTGGTCGTTCAGTTATAAGAATAAAGCTGGCCAAAATATGACTCAAAATTTACTATAGCTTGCAGCATTGTACCATATGGCTTACCAATCATGGCCATTATCCTAGGGATACAGAGTGGCCAATTTCATCTAAAGGCCAAATCTACCAGGTGAAAAGCACCTGGAATGGAACTGAGGGACTAGGGAATGCCAGGTCCTGCTGTGATAGCATCGCATTTCTTCCTGATTAAAAATGGTGATTTCAGTTTGTACCACTTAATTCAAATTATATGTAACCCATAAATATCCATTGAAATAACTATGATGAACCCATGCTAAAGTCAATTAGTGAATCTGAGACAAAAAGAGTTTAAAAATTTAAAGAATAGACATTTACTTTTGTAGTCTGAAAACATGGGTTGTTGTTTATGTGAAAGTATTGCTGAATTTAATGTAATATCCTTAATTTGGTATATTATCTTAACATGCTATGTAAATGAATCATTGAGCAGTTCTAGCATCATTTGCATATTTATAGAATTACATATTTTTTATTATTGCTTTGGAGGATATATTCTTGTTAATAGTCCTGACTAGCCCTGAAATTCTAATGTGCAAATATATATATAAACTTTATCATTCTAGTAGGCCAAGACCAACCTGATTTGTAATACTTGTCTTCATGCTTAAATGTCTCAGAATGTTCCAGAAATATGTTTATACTTCAAAATATATTTGACATTATCATTCTTAAAGTTTTGGCTGAAATATAATGTTATTTCCCTTCATTTCTTGACTTATTAATGTAGATTAAAGGTTAAAAAATTATTTGTAAACCTGATAAAGTATTATTTTTAAGGGGAGAAAAAAGTGTGTATTTTTTTTCAAGGTGCAAGGTTGTAGTTACATAGTGATTAGAAGGCCTTTCACATAATTGGAGAAAAATGATCAGCGTGTATAATTGCCTTATTATAGTGTATTATGTAACTTTAAATACATGTAAGACAATTTTATGTGAAAGGATAGCTATTATTTTACTTAAATATTTAGTTTACTCTTCAATTATATTTATTTTACAAGTAGGTAAAATTGGTCCTACTGACACTGTTCTTTGAAATTCACAGAACGACATTTCTTTTCCCATTTGATTTAAGGTTGTAGAATGGAAATATTCCACTGAATCTCACAAGTACATGATAAAGAAAACTATGTAAATAATATGTAAATAAATAATTAAAAATACATTAATTTTGAATCATATTCTACAACTGAGGTTTTGTGAACCAAACGTTAAGTAACTTACTATGTGCAACTCTATATTGTTAATATATATGTGGGGGAAAAATGTGATGTATTTAATATTCCACTTTGTAGCCAGATGTATAGGCAAAATGCAAACTAAATAAATCAACGTAGAGATACATATTGTCTGCCCTATATGGTTACATCATAAAACAATAGTCTAAAATATTAAATTTTTCCTTCCTACTTATAAAAATAATATTTATTGTAACCATTTTATAAATGGAGTCCTGGTATGGAGCTGTGGGTTAATGTGCTGGACTGCAAAGTCTTTTGACCCACAGGATCGGCTTGAGACAAAAACAGTTTTATAAATACTTTCTCATACTACATAGAATTAAATTTCCATTTATCTTTCTGATTTATTCATTTAGAATTTGTGAATTTCTTCAAAATTTGTGCATCTGCTGTTTGATTGTTTTGCCTAACATACATCTTCCTTATAATATGATTTTATTTCAGCATGGGAAGTAAACAGCAGAACTGAACAAAAAATTACCTATCTTATTAGCGTGTATTTTGCTATGCTTTGTATGTAAAAGATTCTGTATAGCAGAGTCACTGTAATTATTATTATGGCAAAAAATCCATTTTTGTGAATTAATTTTTCTGTGTAATTTTGGCAGGTTGTACTGTTTCCAATGCTAGTCCTTGTTACTGTTTTGGTTAAGTTCCATCAAGTAGGTTCTAACTTAAGAGCAACCTTGTATAGAATTTTTAAGGAATGACTGGTGGGTTTGAACTACCAACCTTACGGTTAACCGTCTAGTCTTGTTCTGTTATTAATTGTCACTGAGTTGATTTTGACTCTCTATAGGGTTTCAGAGGAACAGCTGGTGGGTTTGAACTGCCGACCTTGCATTTCAAACTGACCTTATGGCACACTGCTTACACTACAGCTCCACTACAGGACTCCAGTGTTTTTTCTACAGCACCAAAGATAGTAAATTCAGGAACTCCAAAGAGTTGATATTTATTTATATATAAAATCAAACAAAAATGCAGTATCAATGTAATGCAAACACATTTGCTAATTTTAGATCTAGCAAAAGGCGATGATGGCAATATTAAAACTGGGATCAATAAAATAAAACCCATAGGCCAAATAAACGCACAGCCTATTTTTATAAAATGAAATCTTTTTGGAATACAGCCACTCTCACTTGGTTAGGTATTGTCTTTGTGTACTTTTGCACTACAAAGGCAGAATTGAGTATTTGCAACAGAGTTCGTATGACCCATTAGACCTAAAATCTTTTAATCTGGTCTTTATAGAAATTTTGCGGATGCCTTTCTTAGAAGAATATTGATGACTATGGGTTGGAACAAGCTTGATGGCACTTAACAAAAACAACAAATTTATCTTAAATGCATTATCAAATCCTTATACACATACACACATAAACACACATATGTTGTTGTTAAGTGTCGTTGAGTCTACTCTGACCCATAGCAACCCTGTATAGGGTTTCCGAGGAGCAGCTGGTGAGCTTGAACTGCCAACCTTGCAGTTCAAAAGGTTTTGCAGTCTGCCACATTAACCTACAGGACTCCAAACACACATACATACACACACAAAACAAATGAATACTTGTAAAGTTGGGGACATTTGAATAATATTGCTGATTCTTTCCATATCAATGGTAATGTATCATAGGTTTGCAAAATGTTACCATGGGGATAAACTAAATAAATGGTACATGAGAGTCTTATGTATAATTTTTTTAAAACTGCATATTAATCAGAAGTACATTCAATGGCAATTAAATGAAAATCAGAATTTACTAATAACTTTTAGTTATTTATGATTTCTGATATTATGGATTGCTGTTGTTGTTAAGTGCCAACAAGTTGGTTCTGACCCACATCAACCCCGATAAGGTTTCCGAGGAAAGGCTGGTGTGTTTGAACCACCGACCTTGCAATTCAAAATGACCTTGTAGTCTCTTGCATTATCCTGCAGTACCACATTAGGACTCTATAAATAAATTGTACAAAATACCTATGAATACGATTATTTTTCTAATATATTTCTATTATCAGATTTTTATAATGAGATAACTAGTTATAAAAAATATAGAAAGTAGTAGCATTTATTTGACAGCAAATATTTTATTATGGTACTTAATGTTGCCAAGTTGTTCTGACTTATAGTGGCCCTGTGTAGGGTTACAAACTGATGCAGTCCTGGAGATGCTCATTCATCTATGCCACAAAATGTGTAAGACAGCAACCTGGCCAACTGATTGGAAGAGATTCATATTTGCACCCATTCCAAAGAGGAGTCATCCATTAGAATGAAGAAATCATTGGAAAATATTATTAATATTACATGTGAAAAAATTTTGCTGAAGATAATTAAAAAACAGTTACAAGAGTACATCAGTGGAGAACTGCCAGAAATTCAAGTCAGATTCAGAAGAAGACATACAAATATTGATGATATCAGCTGAAAGAAGAGAATACCAGAAAGATGTTTACTTGTACTTTATTGACTATGTGAAAGCTTTCTACTATGTGGATCATGAAAAACTATAGATAACATTGAGAAGAATGTATATTCCAGAATACCTAATTGTATTTATGAGGAACGAGATGATACTGAATGGCTTTTTATTAATAATTTCCACATGAATATTTCACAAAATTTAAAAACAATCTTGTTCTTTGTGACATTTTTTGAAAAATCAATAATGCTTTTATCACAGTTTATGGCCAGTAGAATAGAAAAAGAATTAATGATTGGCTTTTATTCCTTAATTTCCATACCTGTACATATTTAATTTTAATAATTTCCTAGACATGAAAGTATGAGGTTGCACATGTTTTCCATTAAGTTCTAATTTTATAGTGTAATATTAGAAGCCTGATATTGCTACAGAATTTCATTTTCCAGATTATAAACTAATTTATAATTTTACATAAGGTTTAAGAAAAAGTATTTAAATTGAGTTTGGAAATACATATAATAGCTTATGTTTGTTTACCCTCTTCTACTATGATTGCAATTAGAGATGAAACTTACTGCAATTCCACTCTGGGGACAAAAGGAGGAGAACTGTAAAGGTGATAAAATGTAGATTACTTAATATATTTAGTATTTTCTATCAAATTATTTTTTGGTGTCTCTTAGAGAAATTAAATTTTACTTTTATGTACTCGGATAGTCATAAGTTTGTTTTATGCATTTTGTTTTAGTTTAAAATTTAAAACAAATACTTTAGTTTAATATTATATTTAATATATGCTATGGATATATTCAGAGTCCCAGTGTGGCACTGTAGGCTAATACGTCAGACTGCAAAGTTTTTTGAACTGCAATGTTGGTGGTTCAAGCTCACCTGTTGCTCCTTGGAAACCCTATACAGGGTCACTATGGGTCGGAATCGACTCGACAGCACTTAATAACAACAGCATGGATATATATGGAGTCCTGGTGTGGTGCTATAGGTTAATGTGCTGAACCACAAAGTCGGTTTAAACCTCAAGTTCGGTGGTTCAAGCTCGCCAGTTGCTCCTTGGCAACCTAATATAGGGT